GTAAAATATTATCTGGAAATCTTTTCAAATTTTGTTTTTCCATCTAACAAAAAAAACATACGAGAAAACTAGTCCACAAAAAAACCGTCTAGCAAAAAAGCATACCAAGATGGGACGAAAAAACCGTCCATTGAAAAGCGTCAACTTTTTGACGCTTTTTTTTTACCGTGCCGTTAATACATAATCTACGCATAAAAAATAGCAAAGTGATGATAAACTAATAAAAAAACCATTGAAATCTTTATTTCTTTTACTTCCTTCTGCAAGAAAAAGCCTCCTTTTCTGAGATTGAGTAAAAAAGGACTGCGGCTAACCAGCCCATACATTATTGTCCCGCTTCTAGAGGTAAAAAGATCAATACCATATACAAAACAAATCAGAAATATAAAAGTTTTACTAGAATAATTTCTTTTATCATCAATAAAAGAATATGATGTCCTTCCACAGTCAGCTGTACGAGAAATTTATTTCTGTAAAAAGACGGACTAAAACCGGTCCAAAAAACTGTACATAACGCAATACAAGTGGTTTGTTTACAGTACGCTAATTTAGGTTAAATGGGACTTCAACACGTTATACTAGACCGTTTTTAACATCCACGGTAGAAATTACTTTATCAAAAGCCCATCTTCGGCAATTTTAAATTGGCAAAGTGATGGAAAGCCTAACAAAGCAGGAAAGTGCAGAGATGCTCACTGAAAACTAGAAGAGAACAGAACTGGTTTGCTACTTACGAGACTGAGAACGGTTAAGTCCGGATATGCTTCAACAACAATTTATTCCACATATGTGGAATAAGTACATATATATTAGGCCGCTTTCAAGCAGCAACATTTCTATCATAATGTAAAATTACTCAGAAGAATAGTTGGTAAATCGACCAGCAGGTGTGCAGTGTCGCACAGTAGAAAAACTCTCAGTTGTAGACAAAAATGCTAAACCGTATGCGCAAATTATTTACACGCAACAGAACAAAGACAAGAGACTGCTCTTTGGCAAGTGTCTAGGCCAAAAACAAAAGTCTAACTAGCATCAATAGCTCGTGAGATAGAAATAGTTTTGGATGAATGAGATAGACTTAGACGAGCAGTTACTGGAAAAAATCTTCTCGCTACATCAAGTTCCAACTGAAGAAGCTCTAACGAACGATAACTTTATGTTTTTCCGCGCTCATTGTTCATGGCCGTGGCTGTTTCTACAGAAATGCCTCTTTATACCTCAAGTCTTGCTCGTGATTCGTCAATCACCATTGTATTTCGTAGAAAATCGAAGTTCTAGCCGTTCGAAATTCTTCCCGTAATTTTTCCATTATCGTTTTCAAGGTGAAAATATGATCGACTGTTGATCTGTTTCGTCGAAAATCTGCTTGTTGATCTAGTTCTGTCGAGCAGTCCTCGTATTCACTTGAGAATAATTCGACGGAATATTTTACTCACGACAATTAATAAAGAGATACCGCGATAGCTGCCACAAATATGTTTGTCTCCTTTATTTTTGTACAATCGAATCAGTATAGCCATTGTGCAGTCTTCTACCATTTCCTCGTTTACCCAAACAACAACTATGATTTGATGTAGCTACAGAGCTATTTCCATACCACCAGCTTTCAATAATTCAGCCGTAACATCATCCTTACCCGGTGCTTTTCGGCTTTTCATCTATTTGATTGCACAACTTCAGGACAGGACGGTGGTGTATCTTGTCTTGTCTCCTCAGCTTTATCAATGACTGGAATAGGAATCTGTTGCGAAATCATTGGATCAATAACTGTATGTACATTCAATAACTCACAGAAATATTCACATCATCGATTTAACCGATCCTTGGAGTTCAATAACATCTTACCATTTTTATCTTGGATGGAAGTGTTATCCAGGTTTTTGTTTCCTTCTCGTAATCAGCTTATCATAGCATAAGCTGTCGCTGGGTCATGTTGTTTTATAGCATTTTCAATTTCATAACTAATTTCCTCCCAATACTCGAATTGTCGAGCTGTGACTTTTCTTTTCACCAATTTCGCGAGTGCCCGATATTTCGACCTATACTTTTGTTCCTTATGTTTTCCACGACGGTTTTGCTAGTGCAGATAGGCTTCTGATTTTTTCTTTACCATGTCAAGAATTTTATCCATTAGCCAGTCCTTTCGCTTTTTACCATTCTTGCTGAAAATATTTGATTCCCAATTCACGTACATGTTCAACAAACTGTGAGTACTTTTCATCAATGGTCATTTCGTCATCATACACTTCATTCTTCTTCCGCTCAATGTCCCGTTTGAAACCATCCCGTAGTATATCATTGTGAAGCTTTTGAGTTTAGCCTCTGTCGTTTTTGTTGTTGATTTTTTGTTCGGCTTTTCAAATGAATTTTTACCTTAGCTCGGAGGAGGTGATAATCTGTTCCAATAGCTCCGGCTGCTCCTCGATGAGCCCTAACATCGTGCACACTTGTACAATTTTTTACAAAGCAACAGTCGACTAAAAGTTGACCATTCTCGTTTTGTTGATCAATTGTGTGCTTTACAATTACGTCACCGGCCGTCTGAGACTCTTGCAAACCAACTCGAGCATTGAAATCTCCCATAACTAAAACCATATCACGTCTCGACACGATTATTTACTGATATTACGATCAGGAATCAAACCATTGACATCGTCGCGTACTTTGCATATCTGGGGTGTTTCGCGACGAGAGATCACTCACAAGAAAAGGAAATTGAAACGAGAATAACAAAAGCATCTGTGGTCTTCAATATGCTTCGAATGTCGATTTGATATCGTAAAACTGTATCATGTGAAGCTTCAAAATATGTATATTTCGTGCTTGTATTCTATCTATTCTGTTATATGGAAGGGAAGTGTCGTCTCTGACTCCGGCTCAAGAAAGACTGCTAAACACATTCTGTATGGCTTGTCTAAGAATATTAATTGGTGTAACATTAGGCGATCGAATGTCCAATGAAAAAGTTTTGGAACTGAGTGGTGAATCAAATTTGGAACATATAATGAGTAGAAATCAGTTAAGGTAGTTTGGCCATGTAAACAGGATGGAAGACGTGAATAGAAAGTCGAAATAATTAAAGAAAATTATGTTTTTGTATTTTCCTCATGCTCGAAGACCTCAAAATATAGGCGTAAGGAAACGATGGGAAGATAAAATCACAGATGATATTGCCAAATTCGGAATCAAGAATTGACGGAGGCAAGCGATGGATAAGGACAAGCGGCGTCAGGTTATCAACAAATACGTGTAAATTAAACACGTACATTCGAGTATTCAAAAACTTGTACATGAATATAAGGATCGGCGACGAGCAGAAGAGC